AAGCATCGCCGCTTAGCATCAATTACATTTATTTACATGTTTATAATTAACGCGCACTACCTACTTTATGTGAAAATAGGGGAAAAATTTAAAACTAATCCCACATACATAGAGATATAGAGATGTCATTTTAGCCCCGCAACGGTAAGACTTTTGATGTGATATTTTACTGAAATGACATTTTGCCAATAGTCATCACACTTGACATGACACTAAATGTTGAGTTAGGTACACTCACGACACAATACGTGGACACTAACGTAATTACTTTATTAGATTAACAAAATAATTACACGAATACAATATAATACTTTACTTATCAAGACCAAACACCCTAACTATTTTATTGATACACTCTCTCACTCTTCAAATTCATGACACTCACATTTTCCTCTTGGATTCTTATATGCTTGGATACAATGCAAATGATTGACACTCACTCACATTTTCCTCTTGGATTCTTATATGCTTGGATACATTGCAAATGAGGTGGTCTTGCCTATTTATAGCTACCTCTCTCTCTAATAAACTATTTAGAACTACTCACATTCATTGGGCTTCCCTAACACTCTTGCCCCTTCTAGATTATTCTAATACTTACTAATATTATGTACTAGATTATTCTAATACTTACTAATATTATGTACAATGTTCTAGACTCATCCACTTAATTAGTCTAGCTCCTACCATATTCTACAACCTTCCTGTAGTCTCTATTGCAGTCTAGAATCTTCTACGTGCTTCCACTAGCTTCCTCACACATCTAGATCCTTCTACAATATTCTGGAACCTTCCACATTTTTTCCGGGTCATTGTAGATGCTTCCAGAACCTTCCACAATGTTCCACGACGTTCTACAATTTTTACGAATTGTTCTAGATGCTTCTGGAACCTCCCAAAATGTTCCATAACATTATCTAAGCTTCCGACAATTTCTACAAGCACCGGGACCTTCCCAAAAGGAAGTGTTGATATTTTTGTTAGTGTTATATACTGAAAGTTTTGGTTTTGGATGATATTACACTTTTACCCTTTATGAATGAGAATCATGTTAGATTAAACAAGTTCTATGTTCTGTTGTTTTGCACTTAGATAGAACGTGTCGTCATCGGGCGAACAGAAGACCATTCTATCAGTCACTTGCGAAACAAGAATTGTGGTTCACAACCTAGATGGAAATGAACACCCCATCCGAACGGTTGTAGTGTCAACGGTACAGTTGGTCTTGACTGATTAGTTGCACTATTACATTTATCTATTGAACAAGATCCCAGAAAGGAGAAGTTCGTTTTATACTGATCGTCGTAAACAAACTAGGCCTCGGTTAATTACTGCGTTCTCTTAACCCGTAAGATATTAAACAGACATGTATATGCAGTATATATTGCTTTGATTCACTTGGGTGAGGTTTAGTTCAGTTTGCTGGATTAATATTCCTACTGTCTTGGGTAATATTGATGTATGTATGATGTGTAGTTAGGAAATTTACGGTCACCATGTATGTTTGGTTTGATGATGTCCCCGAAGTGAGTTCATGAATGATTGTTATGCTAAACCCTGCAGGTGGATTAAGTTTCGGCATAATAATAATGTGATGAACGAGCGCTAGCTTCGGTGAAATAAATATGTTGACATCCGAATTCGCCCCCAAAAGAAACCGAACGAGGCAGCTTCAAGAGCCGAACCGGAGACCCGGTCTAGCCCGTAGGTGCCGAGCTGGACTCCGAAACTTTTTGACTCTGACATCCCCACGAGTCCGTCCGTTAGCCCGGCGTTTGCGACAGTTAAGTTCTGGTGCCGGCCTGATAAGTGACCATCTGGAAGAAGGCTCCCCGGAACCGGGGGAGCAAAAAGGAAACAGGAGCCGACCTGAGGTCTCAGAACGGATCTCTAATGAGGAATGCCGGTTTCGATAACAGTATAATAATGCCACTTGGAGAGTAATCATTGGTGATTGGATGGGGCATCCTAGCCTGCTGACCTACCTCCTCTAACCAAGACATAAAGTCTGCCAGCATTAAATGACCCCCATGTGTGCATTAAATGTCTGTCAGGCAATGATGAGGAAAACCTCAAATCGCATTGAATTCTGTCAGGAAGGCGCCGGACTGCTCTGCAAGAACACTGTACGACAAGACCGGTGAACAGTACCTGAATAGTGCCACATTTAAGGCTACTATAAATAGCAGCCCACTTCATTTAATTTGTTGTTGTTGAAATCCCAACTGTCTAAACTCTCTCTACATTTTCTCTCTCTAGACTTGTAAGAAATTCGTGTAAGAATCTATAAGTATATCGCAAGTGCCGACCTCGTACGAGAGGCCGAACTCGTGATCCTTTAATAAAGTCACAATTAAACCGTATTTCTTTGTTTTTCCTCATTACCCTTTTATTATTCAATTTTTTGACCGTTGACCGGAAACGCCCGTCAACAAAATAATAAATTAATTAATTCTTGATTGTCAGTAATCGAATTAATTAATGTCCATTATATCTAAAACATTGGGAGGTAATTTGGGTAATTATAATTGGAGTCTCAAATGTAATTTGGGCTAGGAAAAGGGAGTGCAATAATATTACGTTAGTTGACCGTAATATTATTTAAGTAATTGGAGGGGTGGGCTTAGCCCACAGTTAGTCCATTACTTAAAAAGCCTTATTCTTATTCGCCTAAGGATTTCTACTGTGTAGCTCTATATATACATCATTAAGCTCATGGGAAGAGATTCATCTTCATATTTCACGTGTGAAACGCTGCCCTCTTATCTTCTTCTCGTTGCTCCACCGGTACGAGTTGACGAGATGTAAGAGTGACACAGTAGAAGATCCCGAAGGTAATCGAGACACCTTGATCATCTACCGAAGTCGACGAATCTCAACCCGAAGGCCGAGACCCATCGACCCGACCCACCGTCTGCTGCCGTGAAGCAGCCGGAGGACCTCCGTGACTATCCCGACAAGGCGCGACACGACCGGCGATGATTCCACAGCCACACGGCCCGATCGCGATGAGCTGACCTGCCATTTGTTCGTGTGATGCTCCCGGTCATCCCGAATCAGGCAGATTCAGAAAATTTTAAGTCGTAAGTTTTCTATGTCAAACCTTTAGATCCGTTGCGCATAGGTTTCCGTTTGCTATTGAATTCGTAACTTGTACATAACGAGATCCTCACAGATCCCAACAAGTGGTATCAGAGCACTTGGTTAATTCGTTTTGTACAAAGTTCGAATTTTAACGGCTTTATTTGACAAGATGCGTTCAAACGCAGCCATATATATTAGATTATATTCGCATAACTCGGTTTTGCAGGAATTAGTTAATCCACTATTATGGCTGATTATGTGTTTGATGAGTATGATGTATGGTTTTAAATTTGTTTTTAAAGCCTCGGACATGTCGAGGAATTGATGGATGAATGTTTGAAATAACTTTGAGCCCGGGGGTTGACCGGATAGAATTAATTATTTGTTTAGAAAACATGTACATCCATTCGTTAGATCTAGGATCGAATTATATAATTTTTTAAATTATATTTTTCGTGTTGTGATCGTGTGTTGATGACCGAGAGATCACAAGGATCAATGAGCCTCGAAGAATCGACCGGACCAAGGCCCGAGGAGCTGCAAGCGAGCCGCGCGAGGAGCTGTCCACGCGGCGGCGGCGCACGATGGTTCAGCGGCTGCGAAAGAGTCCCGTCGACACGACTCGTGTGACGCAGCCCGCGAGAAGAAAAAAAAATTGGCTTTTTCCACTGGACCGGCTGCGGCGACGGCAGCTGGAGGAGGTGGTTTACTTGCTGGACATGCAGTACAATATCTATCAGGATTCTACTGCAGTGGGAGTTACAGTTGGACAAGGAAAGAACTATAAGGTTTCCTTATTTAAGGAGACTCAATAACTAATTCTCATAATAGTGAATTTATTTATTTAAATTTATTATGTCAATTAATTAATTATTTATTTATGCATGATAATTAATTATTGCTTTTGCATGTGATTAATTTAGAATTGCATGAATAACGATACATGTTAGTTAATTAATGCTTTTGCATGTGATTTAATTTAGAATTGCATGAATTATTATGCATGTTAATTAATTATTGTTTTTGCATGGATTAATTTGGTATTGCATAAATATTTAAAATTCCTCATTTAAATAATACTAAGTTTGAGAAGGGATTTTAAATTAAAGTTAATTTCAAAATTCCTTAGGCCTCCATTTCTAATTTGTTGGTAAATCAATTAATTGAAATATGGGCTCCCCCTCGGGTGACATCACTAAAATTAATTGTAGGTAATTACCAGGACGAATTTCTAGTTAGACGATTATATGAAGTCTTATGAGAGCGTACGGGCCTCCCCTCGGGGGACGTATAATCAAATTTGATGAACTTAGGATTTAGAGATG